ACGGATCAGATACGGTATGTCACTCCAGTGTAAAGCTGTACAATACATCTTTTTGTTGAAGGAAAAAAAAATGGGGGAAAGATGGAAAAAGGGAGTGTGACAGCATCCAGGATGACAGATTTTCTGGGGATCAGGGTGTATTTACTGGCTGAAAACAGTTTGTGCTGCTAGCCAAGAGTGTATATCAGCATGGCATCGCTGATTTGTGTCTTGGTACTGTGAATTCTAGCTGTGGCACAGAGGCAGTCTAGGCATGTTCTCAAATACTGACTACATCAGTTGCATTCGTCACCATGACAACCATGACCATTTTTTCACCCCCATGCAATGAAATGAGGCACTATATGCATTAAGCAGGAGCTGTCTGTCAAACATGAACATTTGACAATACTTGGCAAAAAAATACTTATTTACATTGTATTGCTGCTTGTAGGAGATGATACTGATTGGGCTAATAAGGGGGTTGCATAATGTATCAAATGGTTTAATTATATGACCTTGTAGTCTTAATGTTTTTCATGTAATACATTTTTACAGTACATGGAACTAACACACACCCTGTGCTTTCAGAATAAAGCAGCCAGTGGTGGAGAGTGATGAAGTACATTTACTTAAGTACTTGACAGTTAAGTACAGTTTTTGAGTATCTGTACTTCACTTGAGTATATGTACATATATATTTTTTGGAACTTATTACTTTGACTCCACTACATATGACAGACAAATATTGAACTTTGATTCCACTACATTTCTATGAAGGCTCTTGTTACTTGTTACCAGTGTTGGGGGTAATAGTTACAGTAATATATTCCATTTTAGCAGGAACAAAGTAATAAAATGTGTTACCAACACAATTTTGGGTAATGTTATTACATTTACAATGTCACATAACAAGTTACCACCAGAAATAAACTGTTTTTATTTTTCATTTTTCCACACTGTTCCACTTCCGCCAGCACACCACCAGAAAAAATATCCCCCGGAAGGTTGTTGTGTGTTGTTATATCATTATATGCTACGTTATAGAAGGCTGCTGGTGATCTGCACATCTGAAACTGTGCATTTTCATGTTCAGTGTGTTTCCATTTTTATATCAGCAATGTCTACAACATATCCCCTTTTGCTTTTGCGTCCTAAGGCTGCTTGACAATAGCAGGGATAAGGAGCTGACCTCCAGTTTGTGTTTTTCCTCATCCTGATGATCAGCACATCTGGCCTTGGTGATGTTAGTATATGTGGAATGTGTTTCCATTCATATCCCCTACAACTGCAGAGGCACACCCTCCCTTTCTTATGGACAACTCCTATCCCAGTGCTGCTGTAGCTGACCGGCACACTGAGAACCGACATATGTGTCTTCCAGCTCCATAGTATTAATTTGCGCTTGTCAAAGCGACTTTATTGCATGCATACCATTTGTTGTGCTAACCTCAATATTTGTTTATTGTGTTTCATATCATAGGCCCACAAATATTTATCCATATCTTAAAATTATCAGACTTTGATCCTCTGTTTGACCCTCTTTTTGTCCAGGGCTATCCGTTTATTTAAAATGGTTTAGGCTATTTACTGGTTCTATACCATCACACTATTATTAATATAAGTGGGGGATTTTAATACAAAGTGGTAATCACTGTATGTGAATGCATGAATAGGTCAGACCTGTGCAGCACTGGATTTGAAATGAATTGTAATAAACTGGAGCTGCTGTGCTTTGATTACCTGCTGTGAAACAAAATGGCCCCCATCCATTTAAAATCAAAATTGGTTCCTCTGAGGTCATTTCAGTGAAAGTAACGCAAATGTAATGTAATAAGTACCTTATTACCATGCACTGAGTAATATTGTAAAGTAATGTATTACTTTCAAATGAAAGTAAAGAGTAATATGTAATATATTACATTTTGAGAGTAACTTCCCCATCACTGCTTGTTACATTTGCTTTGAAGTCAGTAGATATATATTTATATTTTTATTCTAAAATGCAAAAGTCCATAACTGATGATGCAGTTTTGTGTGTGGTTTATTTGTGGAAATGCTGTTCCTGTCCTTCAACCTTGTGCCTACCTCTAAGATTGGGTAGCTCATTGATAGAGATAGGTAGAGAGGAGAGGTCATCAGTAGGTGGATGTATCTGGTTATTCAGTGTTGCTATGGCTACAGCAGCACCAGAGTTGGGTAAGGGTTACTTTAAAAGTAATCAAAGTACTTTACTGGTTACTTTTTTGAAAAGTAACCAGTTACTTTACAAAATTACTCCCTGAGAAAAGTAACTCAAGCACTTTTAAAGTACTTTTGAGTATTCTACATTTCCTATTGGGCAATGGACCACAGGGCGCTAAGCCTACATTTTTT